GAAATTTCTGTGAGTTTCGTCGCATCAAAATGTCGTGTTGTCCGCCTGTGAAAAGAATTACGTTCACCTCGTCTTGAATTACTTGGTGCATTACTAGCAGCGCGTTTAGGTTCTGAAGTGAAAAAATTGCTCGATCAAAAGAAATCCTCGAGAATATTTTATTGGACTGATGCCAAAATAGTGTTATGCTGGATTAAAGGTACCAGTACCAAATGGAAATCTTTCATCGCCAACAGAGTTAACGAGATTAGGAAGTTAACACAGCCGACAGAGTGGTTATATTGTTCAACAAAAGAGAACCCAGCAGATGTTATGACGCGTGGTGTTCAAATTGACTTTCTTGTGAACTGTTCCAAATGGTGGTCATGCTGTGACTTTCTAACACGCTCAGAGATTCCTCGTCACGACTTATCATTGAGGTAGTTGAAGAAGTGTGTCCAAATGAACTTAAAAAGGACAATGAACTGCATAACGATTCTAACTTAGTTTTAATTGCACGTAATGAAGCAAACCTCTTTAATGATATTCTTAATTTGTCTTCTAATTATACTAAACTTATTCGCATTGTAAGTTTCATTTTTAGGTTTATCCATAATCTTAAGAACCCTCAGGTAAGGACCGTACGAAGTACTTACTTTAGAAGTGATAAAGGATGCTGAGGTGCATATTTTATTAGAGGCCCAAAAAAGTGAGTTTAAAGAAGAAATAAATCAATTAAAAAGAGGTAAGTGTGTAAACCTCAAAGCTACTAGTGTAGAACTAAAAAAATTGCAAAAATTGGTTGAGTGTGCAGATGATAATTTAGCGAGTTTTTATACCACTGAAGGTGTAGAGTGGAAATTTATTCCTCCAGAGTCGCCAAATTTCGGCGGAATTTGGGAGGCCGGGGTTAAATCATTTAAGAGTCATTTGAAGAGAGTTATTGGTAATCAGTGTTTAACTTTAGAAGAATTTTTAACTGTTTTAACTGAAATTGAAGGAGTATTGAACTCAAGACCTCTTACTTCAATAGTAACAATAATTTTGAATTTGAAATTGAATTGAATTGATTGATTTGAATTGAAAACAATTACAATAATTTTGAAACTTTGACCCCAGGTCACTTTTTGCTTGGTAGACCTATCACAACTCTAGATGAGCCAGATTTATCCAACATAAATGAAAACAGACTTTCTAAATGGCAAAGAATCACTAAGTATACACAAAAAATTTGGAAATTATGGAAACGTGATTGTCTTAATAATTTACAAGAACGTCACAAGTGGAAATTTTTAAAGGATGACGTTCAGTTGGGAACTCTTGTATTAATAAAAGATGAACATTTGCGTTCAACCAAATGGTTAGTGGGGAGAATAGCTGAGGTTTTTCATGGTAGGGATAACAAAATAAGAGTAATAACTGTAAGATTGCCTAATCAGCATTTGCTGAAACGAAATGTTCGAGATATATGTATACTTCCTGTAGAATGATGGTTTATTTCTATTATAAACTGGCATTTGTTGTAATAATTTGAATATATATTTTTCAATGTTGTGATTTGTTATTGTGAAGTAATTTATTGTAGTGCCTTTATATTTACATTTATTGAAATAATAGTTTTGAAATTGTTAATTTCAACGCCGGGAGTGTTTTGTATTAGCTGAGAAATGCTTGGCGCCAGAGCGGAATGTTGGCTAATGGCGCATGCGCCGCCGGAAATGGCACTGAAATGTATTCTCTGAGAAACCTGATTTGTGTGTTACATTGGAAGTTGCGATTATATGTTACGCTGTAAGGTGGAACCTAGCGCCTGAGTGTCGTTATGGAAAATAAAGGTATTTAAACTGTGTAATGTGTGTGGAGTTATTTTATTATGATATACAGCTATCGACAGGAAATAGAATAAGTCAATTCACGCGGCGGAAACGATCGATTCAATATGGCGGCTGTGTTGTTTGTGCTTTCACGAATACAGAGTTCAAGTGTGCTAAGGAAAATCCTTCAGATCTACTGGATGGGCAGCAATTTATATCATAGGGTGTATAAGAATCCTAGCAAGGGGAGTCGACTGATCATCTGTGTTGTATCCGAATTAAGGGCACCTGTTGCTAGTGGACATTGATTTAGCATTGTGTTGTTTACATTTGTATTGATGAATTGCGATCTAATTCAGAGAAATATGGGTGGATGCACTGCATCAAATTATTCATATCGTTTCAGAAATAACTTTAGTATGTTCTGTTTTCCCAGAAATGAAGAAATACGAAGCAAATGGGTAATTTATCCCTCCTCCCAACTGGAATGGATTCCGAGCATAGGAGCGTGAGCTCTTGAATTAAGTTCAGCTTCGTATGATTTCATAGTTGTTAAAAAAATAAGTGTCCATGTTTCAGCAAAATGTGTATTTTCATTTAAGTAGTGCTAATTAATGACAAATTAATTTATATCCACAAAATGAATTGCAGAATGTGTCTGTATAGTCAATACACAGATACTGACGTCGCTAAGTCGACGACGATGTGATTCTTTTTATTGTTATTATCGCGAGCGGATAAAGTTTAAAGAATTATATTTTACATTTGATTTCAATTTTGTATGTGATTATAACTATGAAGTGCGCTTTTTATTTAAATTTTAATGCGGGATACATGGTTTAAAATCGTATGTTATTTTTTTACTCTGTTATATCTGTCAGTTGAGCCCAATGTAAAAAAAAAAAAAAAAAAAAAAAAGGTAAACGTCGGATAATATGATTAAAATTATGCATTATATAATGTTTCCTTTAAAGTAACATAAATATATCGTATTTATATTCATTTTGAAGAAGGTAAGCTCAATATAAGTATTTAACGAATAATTTTTACCGTATTTTATACATCATGTAGACTATATTTCCGGCTCTTTCATTTAACTGCAATACTTGTCAATTTATTTCCAATGTATGAACATGAAATATGTTTTAAAATGCTTTACAAGCTTAGTCACTCATTTTTAATTTAATTCAGTTTTCATATTGGAATTAAAATTTTTTAGACAATTGCTTTCTTAATGTGTAATTAAAATAATTTATTAATATCTGTTACTGTAATTTAAGACTTTTGATTTTAATGTTCTCAGAAATTTGTTAAATCAAGTTTATTTTTGTGTGACCTTGCATCAAAGGCGCCAATAATAAATCGGTTTGGCATGCACTGCTAAAATTTTCAGTAAAAAACTTATTACTGATGTAAAAAAAAATGAAAAAATGATATTGACTTGGTAATCAGTGTCTTATGATAATGCAATCACTCAAAGGGCTTCTTATTGTTTCTTAACTAGTTTTCGTAACTTCTTGTCATCATTATGTTTTACTCTTCAATGTTAGAAAATAAATATAAAAGGTATGTTTCTAATGAAATCCTTTCTTTCATAGCAGTGTTATGTACCATGATGTGATGTGTGTTGGCATTTATTATATAGTTATGAACATTATTTATTATTTTGTGCATTTATTATATATATTTAATTCATATCATTATGTATTACATAATTTTCCTTTTAGAATATGTTACATTGTATTTTTTGAGTTGTTAATAGAGCTATAGTGTACATTTTTATTTTCTTTTGCTTTAAAACGACTTTAATCACTTTTTTTTCAGTACGCATGTAAAACATACTTGACCTATATTTTTCCCATGTATGTGATTTATGTGAATGGAATATGTCTTTCAGGTTAGCTATTTTCATAAAGGAATTAAAATAAAATGATACCCTTTGAATACTTTTCATAGATAAAATTTTGAAACAATAGCGCTGAAAAGCCAAAGAGGGCATACCAAACCTGAATTGCAACCCTAAAGAACGGTTACGACATGGCTGACGAGTCGGACGAGTCAGCCTGCATATCTAGGAGCTCTATCATTGGTTATTTCGAAAACAACGCAATTTCCGACCACGTGATAAAGAGCATAGCGCCAGGTAACCAGACCTTACTACGTCACAAAAACTGATTTAGTGGTTTTGGGCATAAAGCTCGAAGTTTTCAACCTTATGGTCGCACGCATTGAGCTGGAAAACAGAGCAAGAAATCTGTAGACACATCCACGCATGGGCAAATTTAGCTCCTCTAATTGGCTACGTCTTAGACCCTGTCTCGCAGGTCAAAATAGAATTGCCGCATTTTATGACTATGCCTCTGTAGGAGCCTAAGAGGGAAGGAAAATATTTTTCTCGCAGTTAGTTTTGCAAGGTTTAAAACGGCGTAGTGCAACTGGTATATTTTCTACCCTTTGTCATGCAGATGGATAGCACAGTTTAAAAAAAAAAATAATTGTCATCATGATTATAAGCAGTTCTTTGCCATCATCATACTGTTGGAAGATTACAGTCAGGAGTGTCAATAATCCTTATGGGTGGTTACTTCGTTAATTTTCACAGAACGTGAGATCTCACAATATTTGTTCATCATTCGAAACGAGAAATTAGTCGAGAATAAATCTGACAAGATAATTAGGTTCCATGTCAATAGTTATACATATATAAAAAACTAAGTGAAAAGAAACTTTTTTTTTTTTTTTTTTTTTTTTTTTTTTTTTTATTTTTTTTTTTTTTTTTTTTTTTTTTGTTTTTTTTTTTTTTTTTTGTTTTTTTTTTTTTTTTCAAATTTTAAACTCGTTTTATAGTCATTCCTATTTCGGTTGACCACCAAAACTTCATGTATTTTGTGTTTTTTTAGAGCTCAATCGGTTGCTGTTGTGCATTTTCAGTGATTAAATTCAAAAAACCGTGAAGACCGTTTACAAATTTACCACATTATCTTCGGGAAGAGTGGGGGGGGCAACTATGGCTGTTTTGAAACTCACGACATGTCTTAGGAAATTACAATTCGAATAATCGAAGGAATTAATGAAAATGAGTTGCTGACATTTTGATAAAAATAAAATAAACGGAAATTTACGTCATAAAAATGAACTTCTGATGGCAGTTGTTTTAGCATTAAAAGGCAACTTTTACAAGAAAGTATGACTAAGTCTTGTTCTTACCCTATATTTGTCGGAAGATACCAAGCGGCTGTGGAAGCCATTTCTGGTGCCTGATACGTAATAATCAAACCATTTCTTTTTCTAAATATAATTTTTTCTTCGGGCAGAGCACAATCATGTGTCTTCGGTATCCAGTGGCTCAAAACAGAGTGTACCTGGCCATACTTGGAGATACTTCCAAAGAGAGTATCATAAGATACCGTGAGGTGGGGGTATCTTGCAACAACGGTGCTCTTATATAAAAACTGAATCGAGTCCAGAATTTCTTCTATACGTAAAGCAACAGACTTCCAATGGGTCAGCACCTGTGAATATAAATTGCTATTATATTTAAGCACTACATTAAAATATCATATTGCATTTCTGTATACATATGGCACACAGAATCGATGACTGTACCGAAAACAGGTTTTTGATTATGACGCTTTACTGAGAGATACATATGCCTTTCTTAAATCGTATCTAATCAATTTTACTTGCAGGCGCTATGATCCTACTGCTGCTCCCATTGTGAGTTTTCCATCCTACCTTCAGTAACTGTATCTGCATCTCTCGTATCTGTACAAATCTTGGACCTTCGTATCTGTGCAAATACTTATAATGCATTGTATTGATTTAATATAGTATTACTAATAACTTTCTTGGAAATATTGGAAGTCCAGTTTATTAATTTGTTAGTATTAAAATTGAAGTCGCGTGTTTTGTCAAACAGTAGAATCTTTTTGTAGTTAATTATTTGAAGATCTAGATAGTCGACTATATTTTGTGAAGTATTAATTTTATTAAAAGTAAGGCACTCTGGATAAATTTGTGAATTTTCAATCTTGTTAAAATTATTAAAGATCATAAAGTCATCTATATATCTGTAAGTATGGGCGTGTTAATTAAATCTTGTTGCTGTAAATTTTTTGGAAGGTAAATTCCTTAATGAATGAAAGGCTATTACAAACGCTTGCACTCGTGTGACCTCCCATTGGTACACCCAATTTGCTTAAATAGTTGAATTTGAAATTTAATGTAGTTATTAAATATAGTGCATTTAAGGAAGATTTTCGATCTATTAATAACTCAAGTCAATAACTGTTATGATAGCAGGGAAGATTTTAGGCAGATCAAGTAGGCTAGTATAGATTTCTTATAGAAGCGAGGTATCAGGTATATAAGTTTCCAAAGTCATAGCAGTTAGTATTTTGTATGCGAGATACATACATACGTATGTACAGACGGGAAAAAAAAAAAAAAAAAAAAAAAAAAAAAACCTTATCTGAATTCATTTTACGTATAATCCTTTTTGGAAAGAAGAGGCCTTCGTTGTGGCGTACTTACAGATATCACGCAAAAACATCGTTCAAATGGTTTCCAGAGCGGTCAAAACCGATATTTTTGTTTAAATTATGATACCCGAAATTTCCCCTTATTTTGTAGAAGGAAGTAGAAATGCGCACTCTGCATAGAAAACAGTAACCCGTTGTGTCATGATATATTTGTGCCTGTAGTATATGTTATCTCTTTATAAACTGTTCATAGTTTGACCCTCATCTTAAATTCTAAAAATAAATTTATTTACATATTAATTCGGCACCATCGAAGCTATCAGCTTCCAACAAATGATAAATAATCTGTTTTAAGCCTGCGAAGAAGAAACAACAGCAACCCAGTCGGTCATAGTGGTTAGCGTCGCGGACTGCCGTGACCAAGGGCCTGGGCTCGAATCTCAGAGAAGGCATGGGTGTTTGTAAATGTATAGTGTCGGTGCGGCATGGCGGCAGTCTAAATATGCGGCGAGCCGAAAGTTCTTTCGTGTGGTTTCCTGGAAAAGGAGAGAAGTGGAAGGCCCTCGGACCCATCTCTTTGGGGTGCTGTCCATCAAAATTAGGGGCGGAACTGAGTTAAATCGCAATGTCACCTTAAAGGCCCGTTTCCACTACTTCGTACGAACTCGTTGCGTCAATCGAAGACACGCCTATGGCATCCATACAAGCGTTTCCACTGCCGCGTATCCGAAGATAATTTTCATTTTCCGCCGCTAGGTGTCACTGTAATATTTTAGCGCCAAACAACCAGTTCCCCGGTTACGACGCTGAACATCTGAATTTTTCCCGCTTCAGCGAGTATTGTTTGTCTTGGATTTGATATGGATCCTGACGTAAAACGCAGAAAAGTTTTCCATGTTATTAAAAATTTTTATTTCTGCTTATGAACTGCGAAAGTAAAGTACGCCAGCAATTTTTAGATAAGTAAGGTTATAAGCATATTTTGAAGATCATTAATTGCATAGAAGCTGAAGTAAATTTTAAAAATTTCTTTGCGTTTCTAGAAGCCTTAAATATTAATGAAATAATATATATATATAGTATTAAAACTAAAATGTGCTGTTAGTGAAAAAATAAACAAATAAATAAAATAAAAAAGTCAAACGAATTAAAAAATAGTTGGTACTTTAAAAATACAGAGCAACTGTAAAGAAAGGTTCACAATATTTACACAAAATTTGCTATGCTTGTATACCGCTGACCGATGACTTCAGGGTCATACCTGGATAACTTATTAAAAAACTTGTTTGTTTTAAAATGCACTATGGGCAGTTATTTTTTATGCATAATCCATAAAATATTATTTTTAATTAAAAAATTTTTAATTCATATCTCTTTTTATAGAAGAAGTTATAAAAATAAGCTGTTTCTCTTTATATATACACACATTAGGTAAAGAAAATGGAAATATTTAATTAATTAATTCCTGGAGAGGGTTGCATTTAAAAGCAATTATTATAGTAATTTTTTGTTAAAAAATGTTTAGGGCATTAATACTGTCTCATGTTAATTGGTAATGAAAGTTTAGAGCCGTAAACATCCCAAAGTCTAAGCACATGTATGTACATTCACATAAAAGTAAAACAAATATATATATATATATGTACAGGAGTTTAAAAGAATAAATAGTAAAGTTAAATTAAATTTAAGTAATTCTCTTGCGCCATTGCTGCAAGGAATGCAAGGAATTTAACAAACATTCTCTATTCGTAAAAAGCAAATTTAAAGTTAATTAAATTTAATTGAAACAAATAAATGATTAATTATTGCTGCGAACTAATCTACAATATCATTTAAATTTAGAGAACATATGTAAATCAAGTGCAAGTATCAAAATGGAATTATATATATTTATTCGTGGATTTTGATACTTGCACTTGCTTTGACTTTGATATTGTAGATTAGTTCTCAGAATTTAAATGATATTGTAGATTAGTTCCTTTCTTACCTCCATGGCTAATGCATTGGGGATAGGCGGAGGGGAAGGAGGTCGAGCGACCTAAAGAACTGGTATTGAAGAGGAACCTAAAAGCGCAAGGAGAAGGAGAAACTGGGGGGCGGGGATCGGAGTCAGCTGATTGTGAAGAGCGATAAGTAAGTCCTAGTACAGCACTCCAATATTTGGTGGTAACAATTTGAAAAGTGAACAGACATTTATAGTGAATCAGCGCAAAATGCCAAAACAAAATTAATACTGCTTCTGGGCAAATTGCCCCCTTGGACTAATAAAAAATTGATCAATGATATAGTGGAAAATTTTCATAAAGAGGAAAATTCAGAGATTTGTTGCTAGTTATAATAAAGCTGGATTGTCCGAACAATTTTCTATATGTTTTAGAAATTATTTTGTTAAATGATATTGTTGAATTTTTTTAAAAATCAAGTAGATAAAAAAGAATTTGATAATCAGTAAAGTATGAGTTTGTGATGAAAAGGAAAATAGCAGAGCATCCTTATATTTACCTCTTGCAAAGTGTCTCGAACATAATTAATGGAATCGCAGATCCCACGCAGAATAAACTTCGTCAGCATCGCAGACATTACAAACGGCGTTCGAACCAAAGTAATCGTTCGTAGAGCTTTTGCAGAGAAGAACATCACTATGGTAATAAGCTGAAAAATTAACACAAGAATGAGCTGTTTGTAGCGGGAAGTAAATCTTCAGATCTTACGTTGCATACAGATTTAGAAACATTTTTCATTAATAAAACAAACTTTCAAGTATTCATACAAATAATGAGCTATATATGATGTATATATACATGAATAAAATGCACTTTAATTTATATCATTTGATACATCTCTGAAAAGTAAAATGAAGATTTAAATTTTTAAGAACTGGGTTTATAGATTAACAGATTAATTAAGTTGAGAATAAATTATAAAGATTATATGCTTTTCGGAATGATAATTCTCAAAGAATAGGCTATGCGCTAGAGCATGAAAAATAGCTTAAAGATCTTATATTTCACACAGTGGCGATATTTTTTCTATTCTTTGTTCCTTAATTTACAAGGCTTTTGTCTAAAGATTTATTTGCCAGGACATATTAACTAAAAATAGTGCACATTTTCAAAGTGTTAGGAATACATACAAATGTTGAGTTCAATAGTAGTGTTTTGAGCTCTGAGATTAGCTTGAGAGCCATCGAACCAAGTCGGGAGCTGTACTTTTGTCGTTTGTCATGAAGCTATCTTCCCTGGAGTAGCCTGAATGCTGTAATGCCGATTGTTTCAGTGTGTTTATTGTAGTCTTTCGACAATTGTAAACTTGTTTTTGGAACCCTCCTGGGTAATAAATTGTATTTTGATTCTTCTTCATCAATCACTCCAAATCCGTAGAACGCTACAATATTTATTATGTCACCTTCAAAAATAATCCCCTCCATCCGCAGTACTTTTAGGCTAATGTTTGCCCCGTAATACGGGCAGTTGCGAAAGGCCCCGCATAATTTTATACAGTTACATCAAACTGCATCGTACTGAGGTAGCAGTGCGAATTTGTGAGGCAAATGGAAGGTGAATGCTATTCTGGCAAGAAAGTGAGAGTTGAAAGCAAGAGGGATAGGAAAGTCGCTTAAACATAAAATAAGGGTAAGGAAATTAAAAATAAATCCTCGCAATCTAATTAACCTCTTCTCTGATCACTCTTAGAAATTACTTCTGTGCGTCGGTGAATTATGGAGCTTTCAAACGAGGGCTTTGCGGCCGCAAGTGGCATAACTAGTTTTAGCTATAGCTGGTACCGCAAATTCAGACCCGAACATATAAAAGCAAAATGTACATTGCTAGGACAACGGCTTGAATTTGGCCAGTGACAGTCCGGATGTTGTCCAGTAATCTTTTCTTGGTTAAAAATGCTAATTCGAGTCAGTAATTAATGCAGTAAATATTCTGAATCAAACTGCCACGAGTTGCCATTGTAATGAATTAACATAATTTGTGTCAAGAAATCCTTATAATATATTTCATACATAAACATATGTTACCGTGGAAGACCAAAATTGGAGAATGTCGACTTTCACCAAATACGTCGGTGAAAGATCGAATATTTCATTATATTCTTGTACATTCGGACCCTCACTGGTGTATGTCGACAATCACAGCTATGCTCTAGTGTACGTCGAAAAGAGAGGTCATAAAGTGTCATAACAGTTTAAGTTGTTGCAATAAATAAGATTTGAATCACATAATTTAGTAAGTTTTTGACTTCTATTATTTTCCTTTCTCATTTTGAATGTACTATGTGTTTTAAGTTCTTATTTTAAGTCTCAAGTGCGTTTTATCGCAATTGAATTACGGAGAAGAAAATATGATATTCTTATATGTTCCAACATTCACCATTAGTAAATGGTGAATGTCGACATTAACCGATGTAAGTCAGAAATAAGAATATTTGGGACATACACCAAGCGACTATGTGAATGTTGACATTCACCGGTGAAAGTCGACATTCTCCAGATTTCGGTCTTTCCCCGTAACATATGTTACATGAATATTTAAAGCATTATTAACTGTGATATGATTTCTTCTTTTGGATTTAATATGCTTTCTTAGGCGTAAACTTCATTTTGTTGTTAAAAGGTAAAGAATATAAAGATGAAAAAGTGTGTCCATTGTAATGAACATATTGAAATATAATTTAGCTGCGAAACTACTGAAGTTGAATGATGCAGAAGTTATTTAATAAAAACTGAATGTATTTAAGATATGCTACCAGCACTGATATTTCAAGACTATTAGATATGCATATCTATGAAGATTTAATCACTGTTAACTGACATTATATAATTTTAGTAAAGTATATATGATATTTGGAATTTTCACTGTTTTCACTTTTAGTCCCTAGCGTAATAGACCTGCTGAAATCTAATTTAGCTATAAAACTGCAAATGCTAAATGATGCAGAAAATAATTTAGCAAAAACTGAATTTAGTAACGTATGTTACCAGTTATGATAATTCCAGACTATCGAAAATGCCTAACAATGAGGTATAATTCTACCTCATTATATATATATATATTATACCTCATTATATACCTCATCATATAATGAGGTATAATTAACCTATTCTAAAGTATAACGCTGAATTTAATTCAATAAGTATGATTTATTTCCAGTAAACATACCTTCAAGTGAATTGTTTAAGCCAAAATTGAATGGATTAAAAAAAATTTAAGTAACATTTCAAATTTTACATTTTGGAGTATTAAAGACTGATTAAGTGGAGCTCCACTGATGATTGGTCTCGATAAAATATGGCTTGAACCGACATTTTTTTTTTTTTTTTTTTGAGAAAAAGCATTTAATATTGATTTTCTTACATTAGCATTATTAAAGTTTGCGCATTTGAAAAATCTAATAGCATGCAGATTATTATATTTTCATTTATTTCCAAATTCATTAAGAGTATTTTTTTACAATTTACTGCCCGATTTTATGCATTATATGTATGAGAAATTAATAATTATTGTAAATATGCTATGTAACTTACATTGTGATCTTTATATTGAAAGAACTTATTTATATATATAACATCTGTATGGGTAATGAATAAACTGATGGCAAATGAAATTGAATTGTTAGTAAGATATTAATGACAATAAGATGTATTATTGATGACAGTATATAAAATTAATCGAAACTGTAAGATATATTGTTAAAAGGTACTATTCTATTATTCAGAAATGTATGTATGCATGTATGTATGCATTCATGTACATGCGTGCATACACACGCACATAAGCCCCCCACTGGCCGAGCGGTAAAATCTTCGAACACTGAAGTTCGAATCCAGGCAAATGGACTGGCAAATTGGTCGTTCCGGTGGTTTCCCCCATTTGTAAAGTGTATACCAGCCAATTTCTTTTTAGAAAATCCTCCACAAAGCCATCCCTCCCCATAGACAGATAGCCCTAGTGTGCTTTGCACACTAAACTAAATTGAAACCCAAACCACACGTGGATACATACGTATGTCTCTGAATCCTATCCCGATAACATAAGAGTTCCGCTTAAAGTTAGATCATTTCAAAATATGTGAAAAGAGTTTTGAGTTAAAATCCAGACTATATATCATTAGCTTGTAATAAATACACTGGACTTAAGATCACACTGTAACTATTTAATATGAGTTCCACTAAGCTGTCAATAATGCTTTGTATTTACATTAAATACTGAAATCAGAATCTTATAAATTAGTATTATTGTTCATATAAGTGCTTCACATTAAGAAGTCCGTTCTATTATCCATAATTTCATATCCATTCTTAACAAATAAAAACAATGCCATACTAATTATCGCATTTTATTTAAATGCAAGTTCTATGAATTGCAATAATTTCCTTTTCCAATATCTTCTTTTACAAAATACATTCAGTCTATAGTAGTGGAAAATGACAGTTCTGAGCCAGGAAGCACAGGGAGCGGGAGTTGAGGGAGCTCCCGAGAAGGAAGGGTTAGCCGTGGAAGGGAGGCTTATCTGAAAATGGGGACAGAGAGCCTTATCAGGAGGTGGATGGGAGTAGGGTAGTTGCTACGTCATAGAAAAAAGATATGCGCTTAGATTATTTTCTTTAGAATTTCATTGGTTCCACGGTAGTCATTATAAGTGAATGAAGGATTTATTAGTTTTCTTAAAATGAACAGCTATTAGATATAACATTTATGTTTCTATGTAATGAACTTCTTTAAGATGGAGATTCCGTCATTGAAACATCCATTTACCTGTGTCGTTGCGGGCTCCACAGGATGCGGGAAAACCCATTTTGTGAAGAAAATTATTGATCATCGTATTATTTATCCTTTACCTTCACAAATTATTTGGTGTTATGGCGTATATCAAGAACTGTATGACGAAATACGAGGAGTTACCTTTGTGGAAGGACTTCCTTCGAATATCCAAAATATTTCTAATGCTGTGGTTATTATTGACGATTTAATGAGTGAATTGGGAAGCAACCCCAAATTAACACGCCTGTTTACGAAAGACAGCCATCATAAAAATATTTCTGTAATTTTCATCGTGCAAAATTTATTTCATAAGGGTAAGGAAATGCGTGAAATATCTTTAAATGCACATTACATTGTTTAATTTAAAAATCTGAGAGATGTTAGCCAAATCTCTCATTTGGGGCGTCAGTTATATCCAGGTCGCGTCAAAATTTTCCAGGAAGTGTATTGCGATGCCACTCTTAAGCCTTATAGTTATTTGCTAATTGACTTAATGCCTCAAACAAAGACCGATTTGAGACTGCGCACTGGTATCTTTCCAGACGATATATATTACGCCTACGTACCGCGCTAAATCACTTAGACGTTTTACGTTCTAGATGGCTGTTGTGATTGATTTCGAAGGCTTTCAGTTAAAGCCTAACTGTTATGTTATAAAAGAGCTTTCGTTTTTTTTCTCTTTACGATGGTTCCCATGGCTGCTGGACTTTCCTTCCACCTAAACCTTCAGAAGAGCTTTCTGCTAAAGAAAGAAAACAAATTTCTTGGGTCACAAGGAATATGCATCACCTACACTGGGACAGCGGTGAGTTGCCTTATTCAAAGCTAAGAACTATACTGAGTTTCCTTTTTGATATGTATCCTAAAATTTATACTAAAGGTCTAGAAAAAGCAAAATTTTTTGAATACTTATCAAGTCGTATAGTATTTATAACTTAGATGACTTTGAATGTCCTAAAATTAGCGAGATTTCGAAGCCAA